ATTTGGAACATGTTAATAACTAATTCATGATGATCTGTTGAGATTCTAGAAACCCTAGGTCTGTTCATAATCATGGAATCAAGAATCTGACTGAATTCTAGGGATCTAATGGGCGAAAGGAACCCACTAGTGAAATCTCACATACCTGGTGACGAATTCCACGGAGAAATCTTTCAATTTCGAGGTTGGAACTGATGGAACCTTGCTACGTTCTTGAACTAGGGTTCTTGACCTTTTTTTTCCTCTTACGCTCTAATTTTTATAAGTTTTGATTAATGATTTGACTTAGATAAGTTCTAGTTATGTTTCTAGGCTTAAACTGACTAAAACCTCATGATTTAGGGTCTAAACGATGTACCTTAGGGGTTAAACGAAATAGGAAAAGACCAAAAGACCCCTGACTTAATTACTGTCGGATTGACCGGCGGATTGGACCTACGGGCTGTAGGTCAATCGACGGTCCGTCGATTGGAGTCGTCGATCTTGTCTACCCGACAAGGCTTCACTAAAACGAGCATACCTTTTTACTCGGAGGTCGGAGTCTAGTAAACTCAGTGGCGTTGGAAAGAGGATTCAATTATCTATCATATCATAGGTCATGGAACACATAATTACTGTTGTGCTAAAAGTTATGACCATATGAAGTTGACCCATCAACAATTTTCAGCTAACTGGCTGCTGACCCTCATCTACGGTCAGACCTATGGATCGTGGATCGAATGACGGTCCGTGTTGGTCGACCGTAGTTTGTATCAGAGGCTGAGTAAAGGAGGTCTCAATCCACGAACACAGACCACAGACCGTGGTCTGATCTACGGATCGTGGGTCTGTCCATGAGTCGGGACTTAGCCGACTTTTCTGAGCTGGTTTGGGGAGGGGTTGCAGTGGTGAACCACGGACCACCAGCACGGGTCGTGGTCTGACCTACGGTCCGTGGATGGTGACCGTAAGTTGCACCTGCAACTTCACAAAATCTGCATATTTTTAGTCTGTTTCGGATACGGGGTGTTACATTTAGGGCTTGTAATTTCTCTGATTTCATAGTTAGGGTTCAAAAAAAAAATTCAAATTCATCATTTTTTTTGCTTTGTTATGGTAAATAATGGCAAATGCGGACTTGAATAAGCTTTGTATGGAAGAATCAGACACAATGCTCAAAGCCGTTGTACGGTGCAAACATGGCGTTTTACTGCATATGCAAACTTCTTGGTCGAAGACAAATCCCGGAAGGCGGTTTTGTCTTGCCCCTACTATGGTGTATGTGATTTCTCTTCTTCTATTATTTATTTCGTTGAATTTAATTGATGTTAATGTACTAATTTGATATTTCAGTCTAAGAATTGTAAGTTTTTTCGATAGAGAGACAAAGAAGAAATCGACCCAAGATCAAAATTTATTCTCCCAAAATTGGTGAACAAAATCAAAGAGTTGGAAGAAGAAGTTTTGAGGAGGCAGACACAAATGAATGAGCAAGTGATCGATAATAATAATGGTGTAGGTTCTATTGGAAGATCATTTTGTCTGTTTTGATTTGTGTTGTTGCTATGTTTATCAACAACCTATTCCAAAGTCGTTTGGTACTAATACATCAACATTCAACATTCAACATAGAAAACTAAAGGGATAGAGAAAATATTGTCAGTCACAACCCAAAACAAAAACAAAATTCGTTTGGTACTAATACATCAATATTCTACATAAAAAAAAGGCTTAAAACAATGCTGCAATACTACATTTTCCATGGATCCTTAGATTGGCTTGGATTGTTTGAACTACTTCCTTTTGGGTTTTTTCTTTGTTGCTCACTCATTTCTTGAAGTTTTCTTGTTGATATTGCTGATTTCCCTTTCCACTTAAGCTTGCTTGCAGTACTTGGTTTGAAACCAATATCACCAGTTATGTCAGTTGATCTTGTCACTTTGGTTGCACCAGTAGAGCGCATCTTAAAGCTTGGCATGCCAGGCTGCACCCAATTTATGAAAAATAATTAGTAGCAAAAACTTAATTTATGAAGATGATTGATATAATTAGTAGAAAATACTCCCTTTAAATGCTTTGAATCCATTTTCAGCTTGAAACACACCTATTCCCATGATTGATGATCTTTTGTATGGGATTGTGCTTTCACTTCCCTTGCCCCTTCCTCTTTTACTAGTAGTTGGCAATGAAGTAGGTGGTGCTGAATGTGCTGGATGTTCAAGATATGCAGGATGTGCAGGAGGTGTTTTTCTTGGTCTTCCTCTTTTACTAGTAGTTGGCAATAAAGTAGGTGGTGTTGGATGTTCAAGATATGTAGGATGTGCAAGAGGTGTTTTTCTTGGTCTTCCTTTTTTACTAGTAGTAGGCAAGGAAATTGTTGTAGGTGGAGGAGGAGCACTAAGTGTTGGATATGTAAGAGGTGCTGGAGGTGCAGTAGGTGTTTTTCTTGGTCTTCCTCTTCCCCTTTTTGATGGGGGCTCACCTTCTGTTGATGGATTCTAAATATACAAAAAAAGAAGTTAGAAAATGATTATAGTTAATATCAATACAAGTAAAAATATTACCTTTGGTCTGCCTCTTCCCCTGAACCTGATGTGTTGCCTCTTCCCCTACCTGAACTTGATGTGTTGCCTCTTCCATTACCTGAACCTGATGGTTCCTCCTTTGCCGATGATTGAACATTTTGTGGACAACCTCTCTTGTTATGATCTCTACCATTACAATTACGGCAGGTCATGGCAAGTCCAGTTCTAGGTAACTTTCCTAATTTCTTTGTTTCTCCAGCTTCTTTCCTTCTAAGCTTACCTGGCCTTCCAGGCATGTTTTTAATTTCAGGTGGTGCAACTGTTGGATTAGTAGATATAGGCCACAATTCCATGTTTGTGATTGGTTAAAGAACATTAGCATAGGTTCTCAAGTAAGTTTCCTTACTGTAGCAGCTATCAATATAGTCAACATGATCACATTTCTTGAAGTATATTGCAGCCACAACATGTGTACATGGTATGCCCTTTAATTGTCATACCCTACAGCTACAAGTTCTCCTGCCAAGATCCACAGTGTGTTGACATAGTCCCTCTCTCACTTCAAACCCAGCAACTCCATTAAATCCAATACTACAATTTATTGACCTGCCAATATTTTCTTGTAGTACCTTCAAAGCCATTGGAGATAAATTGCACTTCCAAGTATTTGTAAACTCCCTTAAATTACCTATCTGTCATCATCTTCACTTTAATCTCTTCAAGCATAGTAATAATTGTCTTGTGCCTTGCTGCCAATATCCATGCATTAAAACACTCAGACATGTTATTATCTACAGAATCACATTTTACTCCAGTATTGAAGTAAACCTTACACCAGTACTCTATGTTGTAGTACATTAAGGCATCCATCATATTTTTTGGACCAAGACACTTCATCTTCTCCACATTGTTTCTTAATTGAGACTCAAAAGTACTTTTCGCAATCCTCCAGAATTGTTGTCTTCTTTGGAGGCCTCTCCAGTCTTTAGCCCAGTTAGCTAAGATGTGTCTAGCATACATTCTATGTTCTGCAGCAGGCAATAAATCTTGAATGGCTATAGACAATCCCGATAAATATATGTAGTTATGTTATAATAACATATGCAAACATTAAAACTAATAAATACAAATAAAAAAATTAAAAGTACACATACATTTTGCATATCTGTAATCAAGGTGAGATCTCCACCATCTCCTAGTCCCAAATCAGTCTTTAATAGCTTGACAAACCATGTCTATGTATTTTTGTTCTCATACTCAATCACTGCCCAAGATAGTGGCAACATCTGGTTATTACCATCCCTGGCAATAGCAACTAACAACTGCCCTTTGCAAATCCCTTTAAGGAAACAACCATCTAAACCTATGCACTTCCTACAATTCAAGAATGCCTTCTTCAATGATCAAAATAGATATAAAAGCTTTTAAATACAGGCCTACCAAGTGCATCAGGTTCATCCAATTTAACAACACAAGTGGTTCCTGGATTGGTCCTTAGTAGTTCATCCTTGTAGTCAAGAATTCTTCCAAATTCAACAATATGATCACCCATAATATCTTTCAACACCTTAGCTCTTGCTCTCCTAACAATAGTCTTGACAACATGAACTTTAAGCGTCTTTCTAATAATGGCTTGCAACTTCAAAACTCTTATACTTGGCTGCTCAAGGATTCTTTGTCTAAAGACTGCAGATATGTTATTTGCATTACACAAATAATTTCTGGTTGTTGAATTACAAGTATGCTTTGGATTGTATGTCTTAATCATGAAATCATTTGTTGTGTTGTCAGGACATGCATACAAAAACCAGGGACAACTATCCTTGCACCTAACTCTCACTCTTTTTGGCTCATTCACCCACTTCTGTACCTGAACTCTTCTTTGGACAACATATTTAGTTACTGTTCTTCTAAATTCATTCACATCTGAAAAGGACATACCCAACTGCCATACAACTTTCTTAGCAGTAGGGTCATGAACAGTTTTTTTTTGTGCTTTCTTTCTTGATATATTTACCCTTCTAGGTAAATTAACCCAACCAGAATCAGAACTATCAGTATCAAAATTGTGTTCATCTTCATCACAACACTCATCTTCATCTATTTCAAAACGGTCAGCATCAGAACTTGGATATTATGGCTTATCACCTCCTAACCTTCCTTTAACACTTATTTTTCCTGTTTCAGTTTTATCAAAACCTAAATCTGGTCCAACTTCACCTACTGGTACCTCTTCAGTGTCAGCTTGTACTCTCTCATTTCTTTTTCTTCTTTGAAAAGTCCTCTTTTCAGCCCTCAACTCCCTAACCTCCTCATGCACATCACTACCATAATCCTCATCATCATCTCCAACTAATTCACCTTCAGTATCAACACTCTCTTCAGTTGAGTAATTAGAACCATCTTCTTCCACTAAATCAGATCCAACTGGACCTACATCTATATCATTAGGATCTACTGTAATTGGATCTATACTAACAGGATCTGCAGTAGCTGGTTCTGGATCTGCAGTAGCTGGATTTGGATCTGGATTTGTACTAGCAGGATCTGTAGTAGCAGGATTTGTAGTGGAAGGATTTGTAGTATTGATTGGAGTTGAGGTAGAAGATGCTCTTGCAGCAGTAGCAGCTGTAGTTTGAGGTGTTGTAGTAAAAGGGACCTCACCAGATAAAGTTTCATCACCAACCAGAATGTTTGGACCACAATTTGGTTCAGCCCCTTTATTGAAAGTGGAACCAGATTCCTCCCTATCCTCACGGCTAATATTTTCTAATAAAATAAGGTCAGGGTCCACAACTGCTTCATCAATCATGTGTTTCACAAATATCTCCATCTTTCAAAGAACAACATAGGTCTAAAATATCCATATAATTGTCTATATCTTCCAAAATGCCATTGACAGGGGGTTTAATACTAAATGTGAAAGTTGTGGTGTATCCCAATTCTTTAATTTAGCTTCTTAATTCAAAATAGGACATCTTATCCACATCAACATCTAAAAATTATGTAACTTGCCCACCTTTATATATTGGTTGTCCACTACTTAAATCTAACACCCCACCATGATACCATCTTAAGGTAACCAAAGTGAACCCACTCATCTCCTACCTGAATGGAATGAAAGAACAGAGAATATTTAAACTACACATTGTACATTAAACACACATTAGGTCAATATGAACATATCATCATTATAACAACGAAAATTGTAAACTTACTATGTCATAGTATCATATCATTACGAACATATATAACATTAAATGAGAAAGGAAACACCGCATGGCTAACAATATGAAGATAATATGGTATAAATTGAACAATGGAATGCTATTATACCAAAAACCAGTTATTGCCCTTCATTTTTTTGTCAATTTCATAACCCTAATCAAACACAATAATCAATATCGTTCAAAATTGCTAGTAAATAACTAAAAGAACTAACCTTTACTTAGACAAAACTTCAACCCAACAAACGAAAAAAGCTAAACGAACCTTCCCCAACCTTCCCAGCAAACTTCGATTGGAACGAAATCTCAGATCATGAAGAGAATGGGGGTGAATTTGGTCAGATCGAAAAAAAGTTAGGGTTTAGAGAAAGAAGAGGAAAATGAAAAGATTAAGGGAAATTTGTGGGTTTTGGGTCCAGTCATTATGTGGCAGCGCATGTAAACAAACATTTTATTATATCTAGTTTATGTGGACATGTCAGCAAATAAGGGTGAGATAATAAGTAAATAAAATATTCAGGGGAGTAATAGGACCCCCGTAAAGTATGAGTGTGTAGTTGGGAATCCGGCTATAGGTTGGAGGGTTTTGGTCATTTTCTCAACATTTAGGTTGAGAAAGATTTGATTAAGAAGAATTACTTGTATAGTGATATTAACTTGTCTTGTTAGTGTCCAAGGATATATATATGTATATATAATCGTTATTTGAGATTAAGTACTTGACCCATGATTAATTAGTGTGGTGGATAATTATTTGAAATTGATTGTTTCTTGATATAATTCCTTTTCCTCTTTTTCATATCTCATGTTTCCTTTGCTTGTGAGGCATTTTACTTGTTTTCTAATCAGATTTATCTTTGATAGATTTTAAATCAAGAAACAAATATTGAAAAAATTGTTTGGCTTAGCTTATTAGCAATAAATTCTTTATTTTCTTAATCATTTTTACATTGTTCTCCGTGAGATTTGACCCGATTAATAGTTGTAAAAATTATATTCAACGAGCGAACGACTATGTAGTTTCTCTTTGAGGAATGGATTTGGACATTATCACTTAGTAAAACACATTGTGTGCAACACTGTTTAGTGCAGTTATTTTCATTCCACTTAATTTTTCCCTTCCCGCATGTAATTGATGTGTTGATCGTTTTGAGATTTAAGAATCATTTTACCCTATTAAACCTTCCATGTGGCCTTATTTTGTGGTTCATGTCTTGTGGGTATATGTTGCACAATTTTGAGGCAATGATGCATATCAGAAAAGAAATTTTAAAATTGAAAGTTTGGAAATATGAATTTTGATCAAAGTCAACGTATTAGTTTAATGAGCTTATAATTTTATTTTTTGATGATTTTATAATCCAGATTTATATCATTATTCACCATATGAAATCCTAGAGACAAATAATTTACGAGAATTGATATATGCAACACAGATACACTAAAACTAGTAATCATATAAATAAGAATAGACTTCCAAACCTAACACTAACAGAGTTTTTGCCACACGAAAAAAAAAAAATTTATTGTTCTGGTGTCACTTGTCTTTTTTTCAATTTTTGAAGTTGCATAGTTCAAATAACAAATGATTTAAGACACATAATTTAGTTGAATTCAAATTCCTACATATTAGTAAAATAAAAATCCTAAATTTAGGATAATAATTAAATTACTATTTTATCTAGTGTGAAATAAAATTTTAAAGAGTGAAAAAGCGAACTACATTCCCTAAGGACGTTCCCGTTTGTGTTTTTAAAATAATATCGATAGATATAGATAATATATTGTGAAGGCATTTAACCGTGTTGCATATCATAATACTCTTCATGTTATTATAACTTATAAGTGAGAATTGGGCTTCTGGTGGACTTAGTACACAGTAAGTTGTCAATTTCACATCTTTTTATTCTCATACTCAAAGATTTCAAATGTAATTCAAGTGAAAATATTTTTATGTGGGCTCTAAATATTTAAACAATTATATAATTCAATTTGAACGCATAATACAAAATTATATTTTACCCAACAAATTTATAAAGCTTTATTTCATTGGCTTACTTAAGTTTTTCACTTCACTTTTTTTTAATTAAAATAAAAAACTAAATTTCCTGTCCAAATTCACTATC